TTTATTGCTGGTGAAGATGCTGCAAACATCACTGAAATGACAATCAAGGATTAGAATGCTGCATAAACTTAGTTGACAAAGCAGCTGCAGGGTTTGAGAGATTAACTCCAATTGCAAAAGAAGTTCTACTTGTGAGTACAATGTTATTCAGAAGCATTGCATGCTACAGAGAAATCTTTCATTAAAGGAAGAGTCAATCTATGTAGCAAACATATTGTTTTATTTTAAGAAATTGCCACGGTCACTTCAGACTTCAGCAACGACCACTCTAATCAGTCAGCAACCATCAACACAGAGTCCATGCTCCACCAACAAAAAGATTATGGGTCACTGAAGGCTCTGATGATCATTAACAGTTTTTAGCAATACATATTTTTATTTAAAATATGTACCTTTTACATATAATGCCATTGTAGACTTAATAGACCACAATATATTGTAAACACAACTTTTACATGCATTGTGAAACCAAAAGCTTTGTGTGATTCACTTTATTTAGATGATGTGGTTGTCTGGAATCATCTCTACAATATCTCCAAGGTATGTCTGTATCTATGCACATCGACATAGATATGGATATAGCTATATATATAAATGGAAGTGATGTTTCATAAAATATTATTGATCCATACTACCCAGAATGTACTCTATTCTCTAATCTATTTATTTTATTTTAGTCTAATCTTATTTTAATTACTTTAGTCCTGAGTAAAACTAATCCATTACTTTTATTCCCCTTGAATAGGTTGAACTTGTAATATGGTAAGCCCTGTTCTGCTGGAAGGGGCTCTCAGTGGACCTGAGGTCGAATCTCACTTCTTCACATACTCCCTTTGCAACTTTATGCTCTTTCAGAGCCTCAGTTGCTGCACCTGTAAAATGAGAGCGATAACTCCTCTGCCAGGCCCTTGGGAGGGACAGATGGCATTACACCTGTAAAGATCCCAGCATAGGGGCACACTGAGCAAGTAGTCCATAGCATCAACAAACTACAAGAGCTACATTTGACCCAATGTAATAATTCCTGATTCTCTTAACATCTGCCTCAGTTCCTCTTGGTGCATGGTAGCTAGTCCGGCTGAAATGTGGTATTGCCAGCACAGGAACCATTGTCCATCCAGGTTATGGCTGGAGGTTCATGCCTCCCAGGCATTCCTCAGGCTGCCCTTCTGCCCTGGGATCATTTCAGAGAAAACCAGCATCTCAGGTAATTAATTGCTGTGAGCCAGGGCCTGTCTGACTCATGTCAGGTAGCAGGCAGTGTGCCAGGGAGCAGGCAATATTTAGGATTAAAAAGTTCTGACCTGCTGGGAGCAGAAAGATAAGCCCGCTGCACAAGCTAGAAAATGGTCTGGTAAAATGTTGAGCATAAACAGGAGCAATGTGGGCCTAAACAGAGATCCAAGGCTGTGGACTCAAACAACCTTCTTTCTAAGTGTTTTGTCCATTTGTCCATCTGCTAACCCATCCATTCATTCATTTCAACACATGTGGGCACTCACCATGTTTTTCAGCCCTGCTCAGGCTCTATGGAGACCAGACAAATAAGATGCATCCCTGCCTTTGAGGAACTCACAGTATAGGGGGCCACAGAGGGAAGTGAACAGTTATGATATATCAAAATGAGTGGCATCATGGCACTATGTCTTGGCTATCATGAATAAAGCTTCAATGAACATGGGAGTGCATATATATCTTTAGGATACTGACTTTAATTCTTTTAGACATAAAGCCAAAACTCAGATTTTTGGATAATATAATAGTTCTATTTTTAATTTCTTGAGGGACCCATACCATTTTCCTTAGCGTTTGCACCATTTTACACTTCTACCACTATGCACAAGAGCTCCAATTTCTCCACAACCCAAATGTCCATTAACAGACAAGTGGATAAAGAAAATGTGGTATAAAGCCAGGCGCAGTGGCTCATGCCTATAATCTCAGCAGTTTAGGAGGCCAGGTGGGAGGATCGCTTGAGGCCAGGAGCTCGAGACCAGCCTTAGCAACATAGAAAGACATCTCTACTAAAAAAAGAAAACAGTGATATATACATACAATGGAATATTATTCAACCTTAAAAAGAAAGAAATCCTACGATTTGAGACAACATTGTAGGATGGATCCTGAAGACATTATACTAAGTAATATATGTTAGTCACAGAATGACAAACGTTGGATGATTCCATTTATACGAAGCATCTAAAATAGTCAAAATATAGAAGCAAAAAGTCAAAGAGGGCTGCCAGAGACATGGAGAGTTGTTATTCATGAGTACAAAGTTACAGTTAAACAGCGAACAGTACAGCATTGTACAGTTAAACGCTTGCTGAGGATAGATCTTGTGTTAAGTATTCTTGCCAGAAAAATAAATAAAATAAAAGCCAAGGGACCCATGGAAACTTTGATGTGATGGATATGCTTATTGCTTGATTGTGGTGATGGTATTACAGGTGTTTGGTGATGTCCAAACTCACCAAATTATGTACACTAGATATGTGAAATTTTTGTATATCAATTATACCTCAGTAAAACTACTAAAATCCAAAAGGGTAGAGGAGGAATAAATGAAATTATTACATGCCAAAGTTTTTATTATGTCAAGACAAATGATAAAATATGTTATTCTTGTTATTTGCAGTTACAGAAAATATATTCACTTGCATGTTCAGTACTTTCCAAACTGTCTCACAATGGGAAAGTTCAAGGTCAGGTGCGGTGGTTCACACCTGTCATCCCAGCACTTGATCCCAGGAGTTCAAGACCAGCCTGGGCAATGTGGTGAAATCCCGTCTCTACAAAAAAAAAAAAAAGATCCAAAAATTAACCGGGCGTGGTGGCACGTCCCTGTAGTTCCAAATACTCCTAAGGCTGAGGTGGGAGGATCACCTGAGCCTGGGAGTTCAAGCCTGCTGTAAGCCGAGATTGTGCCACTGCACTCCTGCCTGGGCAACACAGTAAGATCCTGTTTCAACACGAAGAAAGTTATGTCAGAAAAATAAGCAGTAGCTGCAAATATTAAAACATTAAAACAGAAAAGCAAATGATTACTCTCATGCTTTTCAACATTCTGTATCATTTATCCAGCTGCTAACAATCTGCTAGAACTTTTGTATATCCTGATATTTAACATTTTGCTGCCATTTTGCCAGACTATAAAGTGATATAAATCTTAAGTAATTTGGGGTGAGGCAATGAATGGCATAGAGATCATGGGAACCCTGCGGATGGGTTGACTGACTTGTCCTAAGAGAACAGTGGAAGACAAGGTTATCAGGGGAGAAGAAAGCAAAGGGAAATCCAGGCAGAAGGAACAGCCCAGGCACAGCCTGGGAGGAAAGCCAGTGACCTGAAAGCAGACTGACCTTCAAGAGTGAGTCAGAGGCAAAGGTAACTCAGGAAAGAGGGGTTGAGCAGATCAAGAAAGACTCTAAAGGGCAGCTCAAGGACGTCAGGCTCCATCCTGCAGGTAATAGGGAGACATGAAAGGACTTGTAGGAGGTGGTGACAACCCCAGAGCTGTGATTTATAAAGAGTTCCCCAGAGCAGAGGTAAATGCACTAGATAAAGAGTTTTCAGATAAGGAAATCATTCTGGATGCTGTCCAAATAAGAGAGTGTAAGGAACTAGTGAAATTTGAACACTAGATATTGGTTAATATCCAGAAATTTGTGTTAATTTTTTAAGATTTTATATTTTTGTGCATACGTTTTTTAAAAAAGTGAGTCCTTATATTTTAGAGCTATATTTATGAATGAAACAATATGCTATCTAAAATGTTTTTCCAAATAATCTGGGTATGGGGGTGCAGGACTTTGGAAGCAATAGATGATAGAAATAATAGGAATACAAGTAATTAGCTCTGAACTGATAATCACTAAAGCTGAGTGGTGGAGATACATTGAAGTTCCTTCTATTATGGCTCTACTTTTGTTTATGTTTGAGATATTTCATAATAAAATGTTTTCAAGATAATAAAGATTTAATGAAGAGAAGCCAACAAAGTGCTAACATATCCAGAGTGCCTATTCTGTTCCAGAGGGCCTTGTTTGTATTCATTACCTTCACAGGCACAACCTTCCCGTGACCCAGATAGTATTAATGCGCCCTTTTAACAGATGAAGAAACTGAGGGTCAGAGTGTATGGACCATACTTAATGTAACACCAGTACCAAGTGGTGGAGTGAAGACACACCCAGTTCACATCACAGCCCTCTCTCTTTCATATGCTCTAGGCTATGGGCGTGGCCACAAACTGTCACTGCTTCATGAAGACCTGTGTTGGAAAAAGAGATACCACAGTGAACAAACAAAAAGAAACAGACGATAATGTAATCAGTTATACAGAATGTCAGAAAACAATACGGAGAGCAATAAAAAAGAAAAGGAACATAAAAAGTGCTGTGGCAGGAGATGAGCTGGGACAGGGAGACGAAAGCGAAAGAGAACCAAGCAGGTAGCTGGTGAAACACATTACAGGAAGAAGGAGCCAGCGGCAAGTACATTTCTCAGGTGTGAGCATGGGTGATGTGTCCAACAGCAGAGAGCCCATGTGGCCAGGACAGAGTGGGGAACAGAGCGAGTAGGGGAAGAGGAGGTTAGAGCACTAGATCCTGCAGGGTTTGTGGGCCATGTTCAAGACTTCAGCTTTTATTCAGAGTAAGATGAGGTGTCTTGCAGGGTTTTTGTGAGCAGAGGAGAAAGGTAGAAAAGGGAGCATATTTGGCCTGCCTGCTATGCTTTGAAGCGCCAGCTCACAGGGTTGGTCTCTTAATTGCATCTGGGAACGTAGATTTGGGAAAAGTTCCCACCATCCTCTGGAGTGGCTTGTTGTGCCTAAACTGTTTTCTACAAACAATGTGGCTTAGCTGAACACTTCTTTTCCGTCTGAGTCTGGAATTTGTATATGTGCCAGGAAGGGAGCACTATCATGACAAGTCCCCTGGTTTAAAAAAAAAAAAAAAAACTCTGGGCACTAGAGTCCCTAACAAGCTTCCCTGGTAGAAGACAGCATTTTGTAACTTATTGCTGGGGGAATTAAGCATGTCCTGTGTGACTCCACTTGGTGAAGCCCCTTGGCAGCTCGAGCCTTCTTTCCCGTGGACTTCGCCCCATGGACCTCTTCCCCTTTGTGGGTTGTGTTTGGCATCCTTTGCTGTAAAAACCACAGTCACGACTGCAACAATCTGCAGAACCTGTGAGTCCTCCCGCTGAATTGCTAAACCTGAGGGTGGTCTTGGGGATCCTGAAACAGGAGTGGTTTATCTGCCATGCTTTAAAAAGATCCCTCTGGCTGCTTTGTTGAGGGGAACTGGGCAGAGCCAAGGAGACCAGGAAGGAGTTTGTTGCAACAATCCAAGCAAAAGCTACTGGGGACTTAGACCAGGAGGTGGGGGCGGTGAGAAGAGATAGGACCCTGTATTTATAAATACAAGAACTTGCAGGCAGGCAGGGGTCATCAGAAATGCCTGTGAGAACGGGAACTGCTAAGCAGAGGGCTGTCCTCGCTCATGAGCGTTCATTATACAAGTCCCGTAGTATGACAGGGACTTTGTAACAGACCCCTTATAGTTTCCAGGAGGGTCTGTGCCCCATCCTGCAAATGCAGTTTTCAAGGATCTCTTCCTCTCATCTAGCACTTATTTGCAGAGTTCAGCCCGGGGAAGAATCTCCTTCCCTGAAAAGGTAAGTGTAACTTACAAGACTTAAGTGCCCTTGAATCCAAGATTGTGGTTTTCTACTAAAGAAGATGCTTGACCAGCTTGTTCCTGCTTCCTGACCTCTGCTTCCAAGAGCTAAAAGAGGGCAATTTTTTTAGAAGTTTTCAAGGACCAAAAAAAAAATGCATTTTTGCTTGAGAATACAGGTACCGTGGGCTGCTCCTGCGGTGGAAGAAAAAGACATCGCCTTTTATGACTTCAATTACACAAACTTTCTTGAATTCTAAATTTGAAATAGCATATTTCAAGGCAGGTGAGTGGATGGGTGTGGGGGAGGAAGAAGCAAAAGACAAAAGGAAAAGAGCTGGGTGAGTTTTGCGGGACCGTTCACAGAGAGCTCTCCGCGATTTTCAAGTTGAGGAGTGATATTATGTTCATCTATGCTCTAATTGCTCAGCAATAAACAACACCCACTTGCAGCATAAATGTCAGGATCAAGACTATTTCTAAATTTGCTTTGAAACAATGTCAGTCACCATGAAGAGCACAAAGAGATTGAGCTCTTTTGTTAGCATAAAAAAATTTTAAATATATATGACTGAGGGGTTTTCATTACTGAAAGCAGCAGAGCTCAGGTACAATGGGGAGTGGGAGGACAGGGCTGTGCTTAGGTGAGACTGTTTGCCCGCTCACTGCTCGGGAGGGAGGGGCGACTGATTGATGTGTGGATGACACTTGTCACCCACTGCAGAAAGTGTCACAGAGCAGGTAACTGCTGAGCTGCAAAGGGCACCGGGTAGTGGGGAGGGGAGAAGAGCAGCCTTTCGAGCAAAAATTAAGGCTGGGGGAACAACTTTGAATGTTCTTGCCCACCAAGTCAATAAGTCAGTAAAAATGTTGAGAAGTTGAGTTAAAAATAATAAAATAAAATAACTAGATGCTGTTTTAATCACAAGCTGGGAAAGTCTTGAAGCTTGATCATGGGAGTGTGGAAATCACTTGGGTTTGGAAGCCTAGCAATCTGAAGCCTTCTCTCCCATTCTTCCTATCTGTGTGTTATCAGGCAGGCACTCAACCTCTCTGAGCCTTGGTATGCATGTCTTCAATAATGAGGATAATTACCTCTCCCTCTTTGGTAAGTCTATCTCTTGAGTGGACATGAGGAGCAATAAACTAATGTGTGTCAGAAGGTACATGAAAGTGTCAAATACTAGACACCTAATAAGTGCCCCACAAGAACCTGAGCCAGGTGGATGCTGCCAGAACTTCCTAGTCTACTAGAGTGTAGTGGGTCACCCTAATTCCCAAAAACTGCACAAGTACCTCAACTAATCCCAGGAATCCTGCCCTGGCATATCCTTGCAGGCTGGAGGGAGAGCCCAGTGAATGTCTGGAAACTGATCAGTAGATCAGGTGCTGATGTCAAGCGTCTGAACAGGGCAGTGATTCTTCGAAACAATGGTTTCCTTTGTTTTCAACCTCCCCTCACCTCGAATGGGGGTGCATGGGACAGGGAAGCTTAGTGGTTAAGAGCATGGACCCTGGCATCAGACAGACCTGACTTCAGTTACAGGCTTTGCTGTTTCTAGCTGGCCATGCCTAGGTAAGTCACATAACCTCTCTGAGACTGTGATACCTGAATAAATATGGCAGGGGAAACAGACCTCTGTGACACTCTGAGTATCATTAACTTCACCATTCCTCCCGATTTTGAAAACACAGCCATGTAGATTCATTTAGTAAGTAAATACATTCTGAACTTTTAAAATTTTCTCTGAGATAGGAAGAGCTGTTAGAACCTGACCTCAAAACTGATGCCAACCTTGAGTTTTGAAGCATATTCTTTCTCACTTTAGTAAGATCATCTTCTGTTGTTGTTTTCACATGTGGTCAAATATTTTATTATGGGTATCAGTAAAATACTGTGCTCTTCAACAGCTGAAACCCTGAGGAGGGTTGGAGATGGAAGATAAATAGAACTCAAGTTCTCCAACTAGCAGGGCTTTTTCCTAAATCCCTGGGGCCTGTTCAACTTAGAATCATGTGTGTATGTGTGTGTGTGTGTGTGTGTGTGTGTGTTTGTGCTTGTGTGTGTGTGAGTGTGTGTGTGTGCGTGCGTGCATGTGTGTCTGTGTGTGCGTAAAACATTATTTATATGTGGATGTGCCCATTAAGGACCATCAAAATACAATTTTTTCCTTAGGGAAAGAATATTTTTCTGGTGGGCTCCAAAGTGTTGGTTAGAAGCCATTGCCTTGATTTTCCAGATGTCACTCAGGTCTCATGGCAGGACTTGAGAAGCATGACCTGGCCCCTGAGGAACTTGCTGCAGAACTGCTAGATAAGAATGCCTTTGGCTGGGTGCAGTGGCTCAATCCCAGCACTTTGGGAGGCCGAGGCAGACGGATCATGAGGTCAAGAGATCGAGACCATCCTGACCAACATGGTGAAACTCCATCTCTACTAAAAATACGAAAATTAGCTGGGCGTGGTGGCATGCGCCTGTAGTCCCAGTTACTCAGGAGGCTGAGGCAGGAGAATTGCCTGAACCCGGGAGGCGGAGGTTGCAGTGAGCTGAGATTGTGCCACTGCACTCCAGCCTGGCGCCTGGTGACAGAGTGAGACTCTGTCTCAAAAAAAAAAAAAGAATGCCTTTGCACGCCCTGTGGATGGCGTAGCACCCTTAGAGTGAGACATAGGCCGTCTTCTGTGCGTGCACACCACTGACAAGCCTTTCCGCTCTGCTTGCACAGGACAGAGTAGAGCACCTGGGTGAGAAGTAGGAAGCCCCGTTATGAAGCTCCGGGAAGGCTCCACTATTCCCTATGGCGTTCGGTGCTATAGATGCAATTGTCTTTTTCACTCTCTTTTTTTTTTAGACAGAATCTCGCTCTGCTGCCCAGGCTGGAGTGCAATGGCATGATCTCAGCTCACTGCAACCTCTGCCACCTGGGTTCAAGCTATTCTTCTGCCTCAGCCTCCTGAGTAGGTGACATTACAGGCATGCACCACCATGCCATGCTTTTTTTTTTTTTTTTTTTTTAAGTAGTGACAGGGCTTCACCATGTTGGCCAGGCTGGTCTTGAACTCCTGACCTGAGGTGATCTACCCGCCTCAGCCTCTCAAAGTGCTGGGATTATAGGCGTGAGCCACCACATCCACCCGTGATTTTCTTTCTTTTCAGAGACATAACAGAGAGGCCACCAATAGGTTAGCCTCTTTGTATTAGTCTACTGGGGCTGCCATAACAAAATACCGCAAACTGAGGGACTCGAACAACAGAAATCTATTGTCTTGCAGCTCTGGAGGCCACGAGTTCAAGATGAAGGTGTTCGCAGGGCTGGTTTCTTCTGATGCCTCTCTCCTTGGCTTGTAGATGCTGCCTTCTCTCTGGGTCTTCACGTGGCCTTCCCTCTGTACATGTGTCGTAATGTCCTCTTCCTATAAGGACACTAGTCACATGGGATATAACCTCATTTTTTACCTCTTCAAAAAACCCAATCTCCAAATACATTTACTTTCCAAGGAACTAGGGGTTAGGACTTTAACATACGAATTTGTAGGGGCGGAGGCCACTAATCAGCCCATTTCTCAAGGTGAAATTTCTGCTTTGTTTCTTTTGAAAGACATAGTCGTTGGATGGGTTAGAAAGGATATCTCTGTGGCACTTCTGCAGTTGCCTGAGGGTTGAGGTCGGGCGGTGGCCGGCGGGGTGTGGGGATCTGTGACACCTGGATAATAAGGAGAGACACTGAGTCTGGAGAGGTGGGAAACCTGCCAGCTTACAGCGACAGACCCCGGGACATAAGGATTTGTACTGAAGGGGAGGTTCCACAGTCAGACCTAAAGCAGCACTCACCGGGGCTGAGTGTGAGTTACACTGGAGGACAGTGGCCAAGGTCAGGGTCAGAGAGGAAATCATGTGTCACGGAGAACCCAGGCGTCGGGACCTGGGAGGAGAGCAGCCAGAGTGGGGCCAGACGGGTTGAGGCTGAGGGGTCAGGAGAGAAGCTTAGGAAAAGGAAGGGGAGTTGGGCCTTTCTAGTGGGATGTCTCTTGGGTGGACTGGAGAAAGGGTGGCTGCTCTCAGTATTCAGGAAGAGGCTGGACAACATTAGAGTAGAGGAAGAGTCAGGTTTAGGGAGAGGCATGGGGAAGGATGAAAGACTTGGGGCCACTGGTTCTCCACCTGAGGCAGCAAGTGAGGAGGGCCTGCTGGTGTTTTTCTCCCCTATACTACTCTCGCAGGCACTGGAGGAGTCCTCCAGCAGTGTTCTGGGGCACTGATAACACTGCTGTTTACCTCCTCGTCCTACAAACTACACCCCCGCTCTACCCAGTGTGGTCAGACATGTGTGATCCAGAATCACACTACGAGAGTGAACCCTGGGGAAACATGAACAGGAGGAAGCCCTGAGAGGCCAGCCCTACATCACAGGTCACGGGCAGGCACGCCTGGGTTCAAGTCTGGCAGGCTGTGTGACACTGAACCACCGACCTCAAGCCTGAGTCACATTTTCTCATCTATAAACTCTGGATATGACACTGACCACAGCCTTCCAAAGCTTTCAGAGCAAACAGAAATGCTTTCGGTTGGAGCTGGTAGAATCACTGAACAATGGTTGCTTAAAAACTAAAGTCAATTAATTATCTCATCTAACAAAAAGTCTAAAAGTGAGTGGCTCCCGGTTTAGTCAAGGAACTTAGTGACTAAGACACATCTTATTTCTTCTGTTCCAGCATTCTCAGCATATTGACTTGTTGCCTCATGGTCACAAGATGGCTGCTGCTACCCCAGGCATCATGTCCTCAAACCAACAACCTAAGCAGGAAGGAAGAGATGAGGCAAAAAGCTTTCTTTTGGGAGACTTTATCTTTTATTTTCCCCTTATTTCAAAGCAAAAGGTTTTGACTTCAAATACTATTTTATTTTCTTTTTGAGGTGGAGTTTTGCTCTTGTTGCCCAGGCTGGAAGGCAATGGCATGATCTCAGCTTACTGCAACCTCCACCTCCTGGATTCAAGAGATTCTCTAGCCTCAGTCTCCCAAGTAGCTGGGATTACAGGAATGTGCCACCAGGCCTGGCTAATTTTTGTATTGTTAATACGGATGGGGTTTCACCATGTTGGCCAGGCTGGTCTCGAACTCCTGACCTCAGCCTCCCAAAGTGCTGGGATTACAAGCCTGAGCTACCGCACCCGGCCATCAAAGAGTTTTCTTAACTCTGCAATATAGGATTATTGTGAGACAATTTATCATGCATAGAAAAATGCTGGGAACATAATAGGCAATCAGTAAGTGTTAGTTCCCTTTTTGGGAAGGAAATATAGCAAGATCTTAGGCCCTAACATCCCACTTATCTTTCTGGGCCTCAGCTCCTTCAACTGTGAAAAGAGAATAAAATTAGTTAAGCAGTAAGTATACTATAAACACTCGCTTTTCTCATTTTGATTATTTTTTTCTAGCCTGTATATATTATAATCTCAGCCTGAATTTGAGAATTCACCTTTCAGATCCAAGTACTAGTCAATTAACACATTCAGTCTGGCTTTCTGCAATATTACTTTTAGAAATAGTGTTCAGTAAGGATTTGTGCAATGTGTCAGCAGTTCCTCAATCTTGGAGATGCGAGGGAATGCCAGCAGTAATTATCGCCTAGCTAGGCTCCTGTTAGAACTAAGGATACTTTAATTAAGTGGATGAGTAATCTGATGCCTCCTTAGAAAATGGGCATTAATATGCAAATCAATGATTATTCATCACCAGGAAAAAGGTTGTTTTATATGCCCCTGCTTGGTAAGTTTGCTGCTCAAGAAAGAGTTCCTTTGCACTGGGTTAGTACGCAATATTTATGTTTAAAATTTAACAAATATAATTAGATGGGAGAGTTTAGAGCTTTACTTATTTGTGTCACTTGATGTAAATTTTTAATATTTTATCACCAGGGCAAGAGGCCCTTGTTTTGAAGATGTCCGTTTCACTCAATGACTACTCATACATCCAACCATCCTTCATTAGCAACCGCCCTGGGACCGCCCTGGATCAAGCACTGGGGAGCCTGGAATGGGGAAACCTGCTTCTCGACTTGGAGGAGCTCATGGCCTAGAGGAGGATCAACATTGCTGCAAGCAACTTCCCACTAAGTTGCTAAGGTTGGCAATAGAAGTGTGTGCTCAGCAGAGAAGCAGGTCTGAGTGGGAGTGATTAACTGCCCCTGCCCAAAGCTGGGCAGTGGGGTGGGGTTAGAAAGGCTTTCCAGAAGGAGCTAGGAAAGGGATTTCCAAGGAGGTGAACAGGCACATGCGAAGATACAGAGGCTGGAAGTAGCACTGGGATTTGAGGAAACTATATTCGGTTGGTGAAAACAAAGGTGGGAGGGGACATAGCAAGAACCAAGACTACTGTAGCAGGGCCAGATGGCAAAGAGGTTTGTCCTACATAAGAAGGAGATGGAGCCCTCTCCTGAGACCAGTGTCAGCCTAGGAACACTTTTCTTTTCCCTCCCTCCCTCCCCTTCCTTCCTTCCTTCCTTCCTTCCTTCCTTCCTTCCTTCCTTCCTTCCTTCCTTCCTTCCTTCCTTCCTTCCTTCCTTCCTTCCTCCCTCCCCCCTCCCCCCTCCCCCTCCATCCCTCCTTCCCTCCCTCCCTCCCTTCCTTCCTTCCTTCCTTCCTTCCTTCCTTCCTTCCTTCCTTCCTTCTTTCCTCTTCTTTATTTGGATTTAGGTTTTAGAAAATCACTTTGGCTACACCAAAGGGTTTTTAACATGATGGATTAGTTCCAAGCTGTACAAAAGGAGGCAGGTAGTCTGGAAGGGATTAGGGTTTCAGTCCTCTGTGCTAACAAACTGCGTGCCAAATGCAGGCCACTTCACTCCGCCAGTCTCAACTTATTCACCTGTAAAATGGAGCATCTGGGCCAGATGACCACTAAGTTCCCTCGAAAATACAAAAATGTTGAGTTTCAAACTCTGTAACCCCAAATTCTCGGACTTCAATGACAGCAAATGTGGGAAACGTTTCCATTAGACAACATAGCTTACTCATATGAAACCAAGGCAACAGGTCCCTAAAACCAGCCTCTGCGCTCACCCCACACTACCTGCAAATGCCCAACAACTGAGCACTGTAACGTCTCCTCAGACAGAGTCAAACTTATGACCCATTGATGACTTGGGTAGATTTTCCTGGACATTTTCCCAGGAGACAAAGAAGAGGCTTTATACACACACCTGAAGTCGCGCTGGAGAAGGGGGAGGGAGGACGCAGACTCATTTAGAGGCCTTGGAAGAAGAAAGCTCATTCCTCAGGTTTAAACCCAAATTCTGCCTTCTCTAACTTTGGGAGAGAAAAAAACACAATCCTCAGATCCTGTGGTGATAAATCAACCACAGCACAGGACAATTCATGCAGAGTTTTCACGAGTCATTAAAAAAAAAAAAAAAAAGAAACCTGTTAAGTGTCCTCAGAAAAGCGCTGATGATACCCAGTGAGAAAGATGAGGCTAAGGTGCTTTTACGTTTAAAGTTGATGCCGTTGCCTTTTCTATATATATAAAGCAGAAAGAGAAGATACTTATTAGTATCATACTTCTTTCCCCTACAAATTTGGTGGGGAATCAGATTTCTGTATTTCTGAGGGCTTTGGGTAAGTTGCCTTCACTGAGCACACAAAATTCACCACGGACAGAGACCTGGGAAACGTGGTGTGCCTTCTTCCCCCATACCTGGCACAGACCAAAGACGGCAGGGCAGGAGAAGTGTGCACAGCATTCAAAGTCCCACTTGCCCTCTTCTCATTCCAGATACAGGAGAAATAACCAAGCCAGAAAAATGAGAGGACACAGGAGCAGGAAAAAAACCATTGGCAATTTATCTTTTATTTTATTTATTTATTTATTTATTGTCTTTTTGTTGGTTTGTTTGTTTGTTTTCCTTTTGTGGAGAACGGGGTCTTGCTATATTGCCCAGGCAGGTCCCCAACTCCTGGGCTCAAGCTATCCTCCCGCCCCTGTCTCCCTAAGAGCTGGGATTATAGGAGTGAGCCACAGCACCTGGCGCAATTTAGCTTTTAAAATAGGTCTGTAGCCCCATGCCATTCTGGAAATATTCAAAGTCTTAGAGGACAAATTAGATCCATTTTAGTGAGCAGGTTCGTTCTTTTATTTTCTTGCTCACCAAGTTGGCTACTCCGCATGAAAAGAATTTGAAGAAATTTCATGCTCAACTCGGGGTATTTCTTTGCATCAGGATAGAAAGCTTGGCTGGACTTTACAGCTGCATGGTCTTTGCAGTAGAAGTTTGATGGCAGACCAGGGTGGTTCGTAACCCTATAGCAACGTGTTGTATATTTCAAAGTAGGTAGAAGAGAGGACTTGATCCCAACACAGAGAAACGACAAATACTCGAGGGGAGGGAAACCCCAAATGCCCTGACTTGATCATTACACGTGCTACGCGTGTAACAAAATATCATGTGTATCCCATACGTATGTACAAATATTATGTATCAGTAAAACAATTAGAGAGAAGACAGATGCGATGGAAGGAACCTAGGCTTGGAAGGCAGCACATCTCACTTGAGTCTGCTTTTGGTGTCTGCTAACCTTGTGCCTTTGGTTCCATTACTTAATGTGGCTGAGCCTCAATTTCTTCATCTGTAAAACAATGATTAACACACCCTTTTTTTGAGACGGGTTCTCACTCTGTTGTGCAGGCCATTGTGCAGGGGCATGACCTCAGCTCTCTGCAACCTCTGTCTCCTGGGCTCAAGTGATCCTTCAGTCTCAGCCTCCCAAGTAGCTGAAACTGCAGGCACACACCACCACGCCCAGCTAATTCTTTGTAGACATGGGGTTTCTCCATGTTGCTTAGGCTGTTCTTGAGCTTCTGAGCTCAGGTGATCCACCAGCCTTGGCCTCCCAAAGAACTGGTATTACACATGTAAGCCCAGTCAATACACCCATTCTTAAATGCCCAGAACTTTCATTGTGTTAGGAAATAACCAGGGAGTTGCTGTGTGAAGAAGGGTAAGGGCCTACAATGAAGCCAACCTGGATTCAGTGCCCACTTCACAGATAAGAAAACTGAGGCTTAATTTGTAATTCAGGCCAAAAAGAACAAACACTGTCCTGGGGCTTGTCCTACTGTCACCCTCATTCCCCTTTTCCCGTTACCCACTCCCCTCCCTTCCACCCATCCATTCCTGCTTCCTTCCTTCCTTTATTCCTTCCTTCCTTTCCTCCCTCCCTCCCTTCCTTTCATTCTTCCTTCCTTTTCTCCCCCCCTTCCTTCCTTCCTTCCTTCCTTCCTTCCTTCCTTCCTTCCCTCCTAGGGAAGGTGTTCTCTTTCCAGGTCCGCAAGTGGGTGTGGGCAAGTTTTAAGGGCAAAAATTTCCCAACACCATATTTTCTCCCCCTCTCATCTCTCCCCATCCAGGAGATTTAACAGTTGATGTTTAAATTTCACCGGCACAGGAAGAAACTAAAAGTCAATCACTCCAGCGAAGTTCTGAGGAACTCCTTTCATTGGCCAGAGGTCTTAGAGAAGGCGGGGGTTCTTCCCAGGTTAAAGTCCCCTTCTCCCACACCCCTTCAGACTCCATGTTTGGATCCCCTTCCATGAACACTCCTGTGGAAGCTGTTTTTCTCTCTCCTGGATTTTCCCTCTGGAGTCCCCTTCCATACTCTCTCGTGGAAGCCTGTCTTCCCCTCCCAAACTTCACCTCTGTCTATTCCCTTCCTCTCAGTGTGGAAGCTGCTTTCCTCTCCTGGATTCCATCTTTCTGGATTCTCTCACTCAGTGTGAGAGGAGCCTTCCTTCCGTGGTTTCCCGCTCTGGGAGCCCTTCTCACTCAGTGTGAGAGCCAGCTGTTTCTCTCTCCTTCTGCTTTTTCTCTCTCTAAATAAATCACTTTCTACAAATGCTTTTGAGTCCAGCATTGACTGTGCACTGTGCCGCGGTCTCCTCACCCATTCCTGGGGAGTGATCGACCAAGAACCTGGAGAAATGTCCTCTCAGGGAAACTGAGGGGGCACCCCTGAACCCCAATATTATGCTTCCTTCCTTCCTTCCTTCCTCCCTCCCTTTCTCCCTTCCTTCTTTCCTCCCTCCCTCTCTTCCTTCCTTCCTTCCTCCCTCTCTTCCTCCCTCCCTCCCGTCCTTCCTTCCTTCCTTCTTTCTTCCCTCCCTTCCTTCCTTTCTTCCTTCCTTCTTTCCTCCCTCCTTTCCTTGCTTCCTTTCTTCCTTCTTTCCTCCCTTTCTTCCTTCCTCCCTCCCTCCCTCCCTTCATTCCTTCCTCTCTTCGCAGTCAGGATCTCACTTCTTTTCCCTGTGTGGTCTCAGAAAAGTGGAGAACAGGGGCCCTTATTCCCTCTGACTCCCAAGGCAGAGGTCTCAGATACTTTGTTTGGGTTTTGTTTTTATAATTGTTTATCTGTACGTTCTTTTCCTTTTCACAGTCCGGCAGCTTCTTTGAGTGTGATTATTCAAGTCAAAAACAGTTGGCCATATCAGGCTAATCATATAGAAAGTTTTCTGGCATTCGAAATCTGACTCTGTGTGTGTGTGTATGTTTGTGTCTACATATGCACACGTGTTGTGCTTTCAGCTAGGCTGCATTTTGAGGAGCTGGTAGTGACACCCCGATAATATCTACCTGCAGAACCACAGCTTCGTATCTGACTCAGGACAGCTGACTCAGGAGCTGTATCCTATAATGGTCAAGTCTGTATTTTTTGAAAGAAACAAAGACCTGGGTTCCAATTTCTGTTCTACCATGACAGAAAGTGGTGTCATCTTTCTGTGTGTCAGGCCCAACGTCTATAAGCTAGCAATGTTATTGCCTGCATCGTTGGCTTGCCATGAGGATTAACTAGGGCTGAGTGTGACATTTCTGCTGCACTGTAATATGACTAGTATCTCCCTCATCTTCTTTCTCCACCTCGGCCCTCCCAGCCCCATACAACGTGCTGTTATTTGAAGTCTGTGCAGGTCATTGCAGGTGATGGTCCTGCTTGTGAGGGTGGGAGATGCCTGGATGGATTTGAGTCTGGTCCTGTGAGACTGAGCGATTGTGCCCCAGGATAATGAGATGCCGAAATTAGAGCCAAAACTGCCTCCCATTTGTGTGGGGAATGAGAAAGCCATAGAAGCTTCTGGTGAGTCAGATTGAGAAGGAAGTGCACATTTAAGGACAGAAGAAGGCCAAGGAGCTGTGCCAGGAAGTTTCCACAGCTGTGGCTCAGGAATGGCTCTTCTCAACTTTCTTAAGTAGCATCCCACCTAAACTAGCCAGCCCTCCTTCCGAGGCAGTCTGTTTTTAACAATTCTTGAAAAGCCAAAAACTTTGTGTGACTTGGTGAATGGGACAAGAAAGATGCTATGGGCCTCAAGAAGTAGATATTAGTATTCCTATCTTATGGATGAGAAAATCAAGGCTCAGAGAGGTGAGGCCACTTGCCCAGTGTCACACAGCTTAGGATCTGAATTTGGATCTATTTATCTGCAAAGCCCAGGTTATCCTGCTTAACCATACTGCAGTCCACTAATGCTGGGTCCATTAACAACATGAGAATACACCCATGTTTTACTAAGGTGGGCTAATAAGGACCATTGGAAAGTAGTTCTTTAAGACCAGGCTATTGGAGGGGGGGCATATACTCAAATTCTTCAGCTTAATTTCAGGTTCCTATGTAATCCCCAACAGGCCAGCTGTAAGCACTTACGATATCCTGATAGGAGGAGGGGGCATAATTACTGCCGACATTTATTGAGAGTTCATAATGAGCCAGCCTCTGTCCCAAGCACCCATGTCACAGCCTATTTAAGCCTTACAATAACCTTAAGGGGTCAGAAGCTATTGTTTAGCACCATTTTGCAGATGAAGAAATAGAGACATGGAGAGATGAAATCTTGCCCAAGACAATGCAGCTAGAAATGGCAGAGCTGGGATTTGAATCCAGGTGGTTGGTATGGGTGTGAAGAGTATGTTCCTAGTCCACGTGAGGGGAGCCTCTCCTGACTGAAAATATGAACAGGGCCAAGCGCAGTGACTCATGCCTGTAATCCCATCACTTTGGGAGGCCGAGGTGGGCGGATCACCTGAGGTCAGGAGTTCGAAACAGCCTGACCAACAAGGAGAAATCCCGTCTCTACTAAAAATATAAAATTAGCCAGGCATAGTGGTGCATGCCTGTAATCCCAGCTACTTGGGAGGCTGAGGCAGGAGAATCATTTGAACCCAGGAGGCAGAGGCTGTCGTGAGCAGAGATCGCACCATTGCATTCCAGCCTGGGCAACAAGAGTGAAACTCCATAAAAAAAAAAAAAAAAAAAAAAAGAAAAAGAAAATACGATAAATATGATAAACAGGCACAGAGACATCAGGCCAAAAGTGATGTCTCAGCAGGCCTTGTGCTGGGCTCTTTACCTTTTGTGTCTGCATATAACCCTTACAACAAGTCGATAGGGCTACTGACATGAAGAAACTGAGGTTCAAAAAGTTGAATGACCTGGAGAGTCGTGCAGCAGCAGAGCCGAAGTTTGAAGCAGAATTGTGACTTTGGCTTGCCTCACCTGGAGCAAAATTACCTTCCAAAGCCCGAGGTCTGTCCAATCCCCCAGGGTGCCCCTTGGAGGTCAAGAAGGAGAAATCCATCCCTCTTGTGACAGAGCTGCCACACTGGACAGTTGGCTGGCTGAAAAAATCTAGTCTCAGAAACCCCCACCACACCCCAATGCACCGATGATTGGCAGGCTTCCTTTGTGTGAACTCTGCTCATTGCAGGTTTTCATTTTCAGTGATGTCCCTGACAGCTTTAGTGAGATGATTGTAGGGTAGAAGACTGTAACCTTTAAAGGTTTGGTAAAATCTCTGCAAGTGGGAGGTCTGTCATCCTCCGGGGCGTGTTGAAGTGCCTGCTTATAAATGTTTCTTTGCAAACCCTGGTTTCTGAGCACTCCAGGTGAGGAATGCCTAAGTCAGGCGATGGCAAGGATGCACAGGGAGGAAAATCAGGAGAGAGGTTGAGGTAGGAGTGCAGGACTTGGGCTCCACGGAGCATCAGGGAGGAAGAGAGGCAAGAGCCAAGGATACATCCCGGGTTTGGGGCATCTGAATGAGTAGGAGTCTGGAAACAAGGAGGGACCGTTCAGGGGCTGAAGAACTGAGAAGACAATTCTACATCCACACTGAAGTTCCTTACAGAGAACTTACGGAAAATGAATTCTCTACCCAGCCACCTCAGTGTGCCTCTAAGGCCATGACTGTGGTCCCTGGGTCTGTGGCCAGCATTCTGGCCAGAGAATTTTCCCTTTGTGTCCCTGGAGATCTAATTCAGGATCTGGATTTGTCTTCCTGCTCTTTGCCTCTATTTTCTCTATTCCCAGGGGACTCAAAGGACATTTAAGCTGATGCTTGCCTGCCCTCCTCCTTCCTCTAACATTTCCCCTCTACTCTTTACTTCTGAGCACTGGCCGGCCTGGGTCTCATGTACACTTCTGGGGATCCAAGCCCAGGAAATGCAGAGCCCTGCCAGGCACTGTCCCTGCTTTAAGATCCTCATGGCCCAGAGGCAAGTCTGCAGATGCAAGTGACTCCAGGATCAGGAGAAGGACCAAAGGGATCGGAGGGAAGCTGGGAAGTGCATGGCTATCCCACCAGAGAGGCAGGGAGGCACCCCAGAGAAGGCTGGGTGGATGGGGGCCCGGAAGGTGAGCACAGACTTCCCAGGCAGAGCGATTGAGGAAGGAAGGTCCCCTGGGCGGAGGGTAGCCATGCTCCTCCTGTGCCAAGGCAGGGAGATGGGGAAGAAAGCTGCATGTTTGAGCATAGGCGAGGGAGTTCCTGTGACTGGAGAGTAGAGTGAATGTGGAAGAGTGGAAAGAAAAGTGGCTTAAAGATCATACAAGTTCCCAAATATCTTTTGGAAAAATTTTGGCATTTCCCGTGAGTCAGTATGTCCCAGAGTATGTGTAGTTTGAGAAACACGCAGAGAATAAAGCTGCAGCACTCCTTAAATAGTCGGTGTCTGGCTGGGCGCAGTGGCTCACGCCTGTAATCCCAGCATTTTGGGAGGCCAAGGCGGCATACCACTTGAGGCCAGGAGTTGGAGACCAGCCCGGCCAACATAGTGAAACCCCGTCTCTACTAAAAATGTAAAAATTAGCTGGGCGTGGTGGCCCAAAATTAGTTAATTGGGAGGCTGAGGCAGGAGAATTGCTTGAACTGGGAGGTGGAGGTTGCAGTGAACCAAGATGATTCCATTGTGCTCCAGCCTGAGCAACAGAGAAAGATTCTGTCTCAAAAAAAAAAAAAAAAAAAATTGCAGTGTCTGATTCCCACTCCCAGAACCAAAGAATTAAAACCTCAGAGGATGAAGCCTAGGAATCAGCATTTTTTATGTGCCAGAATAAGCACTACTCATTCGTATACGCAATGGAGAGCCATGGGAGGTTTCAGGCTGCAGAGTGATGAGGTTACCTCTGCATTTTAGATCCCTAGATCCCTAGGAGGGGGCATGATAGGGGGCTGTCACTAAACCAGTCCCCTGTGCACCAAAGGAATGGCAGAGGTTAATAGGTCGGACAGGTGGGAGCTTCTCTTCCCAGCTCCCCAGGCCAAAGCCCCAGATGATGGGGACTTCTAGCACCTACCTAGCTTCAGCACAGCTGAGACCCGCAGGTAACCCCAGACCATACAGCCAGGGCAGCCACAATGGACAATCACAGCCCAGCAACAGTGGTGCCATTTCTACAGCTTAGAATGTGCATGGTATCCCTTACATTCATACAACGCCTTGGCCCTGCACACTAACAATCTTGAAATTAACGTAGAAGAGAAAACCCTAGGAAGTGGGGCTTGAAGTCAGGTGATGAGTCTCCCTCATCCTTGTCCCAAAAGCCTCTGGCTATTCTGGGACATAAAATTTGTCTGCAGAGATTTCCAGCAAACCAAGGCCCTGGGCTGTGGTCCTCCAGCTGGACTCTGCCTTACTCTCTAGAGAGTTCCTGGTCTGCAGTGGAGGGAACTAGGAGGAAAACCCAGCAGGGCTTTGCTCCAGCCTAATCAGTCTTATTTTCATGTTTTCTTTGTTAGGCAATTGTGCAATATTTCATTTGTGCTCAGTGTCCTGTGGCTAAAGGCATCACTGAGAGTTAGTAAACAGTTGTTCTGGTTATCTATGACTGAGTACAAACTACCTTAAAACTTAGAGACTTAAAAGTGTATTATGGTTCTGTGGGTTGACTGGGCACAGCTGGGTGGTTCTTGCGTAGGGTCTGTCATGATGGTGCTGGGGCTGCTGTCATCTGAAGGCTCGACCGGGCTGTGTGTCAAAGCTTGCTCAGTCACAGGACTGGATCCTCTGTTGTGACAACTGGGACTGCCATGACTGGCCAGGGACTTCTCTCTGCATGTATCCTCTCCACATGGCCAGCATGGGGACTTCCGTACACTTTGGCAATCTTGAGATAGTCAGATTTATCACATGACGCAAGTATTCATAGGGACCCAAATGGAAATTTCAAAGCTACTTAAGTCTCACTACTGGAAGCTCCTCAGTGTCAGTTTCCAGTGGCCAAAGGCAAGACGCATGATTAGCCTACATTCAGAGAATGGGGACTGAGCCAGAGGGTGAATACTCAGAGCCAGGGCCCGTTGCAGATGAGCTACCACACCTGTACCTAGAGGGCTTATTGAATATTAAATGAGAAAAGATTTGTTGGAGTGCTGCAGTGTCAGAACCTCAGGCAGCATACGATAAGGTCCAACAAGCAAAAGTATCTCCAACCACAGATATAAATAATGTGCAAGTGTTTCCAGAATTCATTTCCAATTCTTCTTTACCAGAAACTGGCAAAATGATTTGCCAAATGGGACAAAGATAATTGCTTCTGTTCTACACAAACAAAATTCCTCCTCTGTTTTTCTTTCCTTTAGTTTCAGAATCCTTTTTTATAATTATTTCTACATGTTGCCAGTGTTAAAAAAATGCAGATATTTCAGAATCGTGTAAAGAAGGAAACCTCTCCTTTTTCTTTCAGCTCTCATTTTTAACCCTCCAGAAGTAACCACTGTGAATTCTTGGCATGTCCTCTCAGAAATGTGCTGTATATTTACAAGCAGAAAAGAATTCTTCGTAACACAAATAACCTGACATTCTATGTAAAATATTTGAATTCATGTGTGCATATGTGTGCATTTGTGTGTATGTTTACTTAAAATATATACTGGTCATTGTTTTACATGAGTTCACAGAAATTGTCCTCCTTCTTTTTCACTGGCGTCACAGAGCTCCATGGCATGGGTGCACCATCATTTTGTCTTCAACTAGTCCTTGTTTATGGGTATTTAGTTTCCAGTTTTTGCTGTTAAGGATATGACTCCCCACTTCCTTGTGTCCCATGCTGGTTGTTTTCTTATTTGTCTCTATGACTGTCTAATTCAAGACGGTTACTTCTTTGTATCTGAGTTGCAATCACTTGCTGCAGAGTGAGTTGCTAATTGTAGAGCATTTTCTTTCTCTTCATTTGCAGCTGCTCTAAGTTGCCTTTAAGGATGAAGTCTTTAGCAGCAAAGTTACCAAGGAGACGTGTGCCCATTGCTATGGCCCTAGATACCTTCTGATTGTTATAGATTTCCCAGGAATCAGGGCACCACGGCACACAGGGTGTTCAGCTCTGTCTCTCAGCTCCCCTTAGGTTCTCCCAACCTGTCCCTTTTCATAGCAGAAGATTTTAGAATACAGTAAGAAATGCTTAGATTTGGAAGTTAAACAGAAGTGGGATCAAATCAAATATTGGCTTTTCCTTTGGTGAGTTCCCACGGGCGAGTCACTCACCCCTCAGAGCCTGTTTCTTCATCTATAAAATAGACCTAAATATAGCTCCTAACTCAAAGGCTGAAGGGTTATGGAGTACACACACACACACACACACACACACACACACACACACACACACAGTCTCTGTCTCTCTCTCTGTCTCACTTATTTATCTATTTATACACATACACACACACACACACACACACACATAAAGGGTTTACTCACCAAGGTACCACATGTCCAGCAAGTTTTCTATGTACACTGACTTTGTAGTTGGGGCGGCCTCCGTGATTTTCATTAAGAAAATTAAGTTGAAGAGCTAAAAGCAGATTCCCCCACGGCCTGCCAGGGGTCATCTCTGCTGAAACCTTTCATTCTTTCTAACCTTTATTGAGCTCATTCTACTGCAAATATTTATTGGCCTCCTACTTGGAGGGACAGCAGTGTATCCTGCTTAATCTTAGCATCCAAGCCAGAACCCCTACAGGCTGCTGGGTGAAAATGTACAAGTATGTAACCACTTTGGAAAGTGGTCTGGCAATTTCTTATGAAACTGAACATAAATCTACACTTTGCCCCCAAGAATTCTACTCCTAAGTTTAAACCCAAAAGAAATGAAAGCCTACTTCCATAGAAAAAGTAGAACACAAATATTCATAGCAATCCTATTCAAAATAGCAAACATAGGGATGAGAAGAAACAGCCCAGCTGTCCATCAACAAGAGAATGAATAAATCAACTGTGATGTATTCATGCTATGAGAAACTTCTCAGCAATGTAAAGGAACTAACTACAGACACGTGAACAAGGTGGTTGACTCTAAAACACATTACGCTGCACCCAAGGAGCCAGAAACAAAAAAGTACATACTGTATGGTTTCACTTCTATAAAGTTCTGGAAGAGGAAAACCATATTTACAATTCTAAAAAGTCAGAATAGGGTGGGGGTGGTGGCTTACACCTGTAATCCCAGAACTTCGGGAGGCAGAGGCAGGCTAATCACTTGAGGTCAGGAGCTCGAGACCAGCCTGGCCAACATGGTGAAACCCCATCTCTACTAAAAACACAAAAATTAGTGGGGTGTAGTGGTAGGTGCCTGTAATCTCAGCTACTTGAGAGGCTGAGGCAGGAGAATCACTGGAACCAGGAGACAGAGGTTGCAGTGAGCTGAGATCACACCACTGCACTCCAGACTGGGCGACAGAGCAAAACTCCACCAAAAAACAAAGAAAGAAACAAACAAAAAACCACCTCAGAACAGTGGTTTCCTGAGACTGTAAGGAAACACTGTGGGGTGATGGAAACATCTTATGCCTTGATAGCGTTTGTGTTTCACAGATGTATACCTTTGCTGAATTTCATTGAATGGTACAATCAAAACTTGTGCGTTTCTTTCCATGTAAATTTTACCCCAAAAAAGAACTGTAAATGAACATTGAACTCTAATTAACGATATCCATGCTGGGCTGTTTAGATGTGAAGTGTACTGATGTCTGCAACTTGCTTTGAAATGAAGCAAAAAATAAGAGGGGCTGATGGGTGAGTAGACAGATATGTGGTAAAATAAATACAGCACGGTGCTTAAAAGTGCAGAATCTAGGAGGTGGGTACACAGGTGTCCACTGTAGCTTTTTTCTCTTTTTGTTCCAATGTTCTGTATGTTTGAATTTTTTCCGATCAGAATGTAGAGGTGAGAAAGACTTCAGAGCCCCATTGCTTGGGTTTGAATCCTAGCCCCACCCCTGATTAGCTCTGTAACTTTAGACAAGTTACTCATTCTCTCTGTGCTGTACCTGCTTTTTCTCCATCTGTAAATTGGGGATAAAATCATTGAGCTCTTCTGAGGATAAAATGAATGATCAGATGTGAAGCATGTGGAACAGTGCCCAGCTCAAAGTAAGCACTCAATAAATTCTTTCCTTATCCAGAAAATACACTGAGATGTTAACTGTATGCCTCTGTGAAGGGCTATATCTGTATAATCCTCCCTAACATTTATCCCAAGAGAATGTGTTGTAGAGGAATGTGTTGGATCAGTTGTTATCCTCCTCGAACCTCAATTTCTTCAACTTAAAAATGGGAATAATTAAACTGCTCTGGGCTTCTAAGAGAACTCAATAAAATGACATAAATAAAAGCAATTGAATCAGGGTTCAATAAATGCTCACTGAATCTCTCTTTCCTAAACCTAACTTCCCCTGTCTGCTCACATGGTTAGAGGTGACTTATTGGGTCATGGCTGCATGGAGCCCTCTCTGCAG